ACACCGTGTGCATGAAGGGCGTGCAGTTGGCGAACGGGACCATCAGCGAAGAGAGAGCGAAGGAGCACTTGCTGATGATCGGGCAAGGTCGCGTGGTTGAGATGAAGAACTACAGGCAGCTGCTGCAGGTGGCCCTGAACATGGCCCAGAGCCCCGCGTGGGACGCCCTGAAAGCATTCCACCATTATTGCATTGATAACAAGGGGAGACGGATCCGCTTGGAGAACATCTCAGCGGTGCACGAATGGTTCAACGCGCCTTTCGCCACAGCGGCGTGCATCCAGCTCGCCTACAAAACTACGCCCGAGAGCCCCATCGAGGACGGCTTTTGCACGCGGGTGCCGCCCGCGCTAGCGGGCAGGTTGCCCACCAAGTCAACTGGCAAGCAGGCCATTGCCAAGATCGAAGAGCATTTGCGACGCTTTCACATTACCTACGACAAGTGCGGCGCCCACCAGAAGATGACCCCCAAGGAGAGGCACACTTTCCTTGGAAAGGTGGGGATGGAGTTGGCCGAGGCCGCTCTTCTCGGGGCAACCGCAGACGCTCAAGGAGCCATTCTGGAGGCGGCCTGCCGCTGTGAGGATGGGTTGCGCGCCGAGCTGGCAGATCACCCGGGCATCCGCAGCAAATTGCCTCCCTGCCCCGTCCAGAGGACAGCGCCAGCGAGCGGGGGGAATACAGCTCCCGCGCTAGCGGCGGCCCAGGCCTCAGCCTTGGCGCCGAGGCTGGCACTGTACAGCGCTGACGGCGTGGCAACTGAGGGCGTGAAGGCCTCCCGCATGAGTTCCGAGGAGCAGGCGGTGGAGTGGGAGAGCACGTTGGCCATGCCAGGAAGGGGGGTCTCTGGTGGCTGGCAAGATCCTGAGGGCTCTCGCCCTGGCGCACCAGCAGGCGCGTATATCCGCAGCTGGTTTGAAAGTGGTCGCCACCTTCTCGTATCTCGAGACAGCGGCGGCGGGGTCCGAGGAGTGGCGACGCGATAGCGGGCCCCAGGCGCCGACACGCCCTCCGACTGACGTCAAGGTCTTCGCCGCCAAGAGCTACAAAGTTGGGCAGCTGGTGCTCGTTCCTTTGCCCAAGTCGGCGGCGAACATCACGAGCAGTAGCATATCCGACAAGGCGATCCCAACAGTTCATTCTGACGAGAAGAGCAACCCCTACAAGATCGTTCCTTCCATCAGCTGGGACGCGAAGACGAAATTCCTTCACCCATTCTGGTTGGCCCAGAAGCACAGCGTGAAGCAGGCCGCAAACCTTCACATGATCACGCTCTCCGTCATGAGCACTGTGAAATGTCAGGGGGACCTCGTGAGCTGTTTGGCCGATCAGTTGCAGAGCGAGGCCACCGAAATTCCCGTGTGGACGAACCCCGAGGACATCGAGGACGGGGCTGAGATCGTCTGCCACGTCCCGCCGACGCAGAAGACTCCGAAAGCGAAGACTGCCTCGACGTGGCTGTCTCAGAAGACGCCTTGCACGAAGGGCAAGGCTCCGTGAGGGGTTCTTTCGCGACGACGCCCCGCGCTAGCGGTGCCACCCCTGGGCCACCCTGCGGCGGCGCGTAGCACCCTGGCTCGGGAAGTCGCGCCGCCGTAGCTGTAGTATTGAGCTTGCAAGGCATTTACGTGATGTATGAACACGAAATTCTTCCAACCTCCCCACCTTTCCCCGCGCGCGATTCTGCCGAGAGCCGGCGGCCAGATCGGGGCGCCGCAGTCGTTTCGGCCCGAGCCCTTGTAGCCAATCTGCAGAGGACGCCCCCGCGCGCGCCATTTCCTGGATGGGGAAGGGTCCGCGGGCCCCACCGTCGTGGAAGCCTATTAGCAAGGTCATGAAGATGAACATCAGTGGGGGATTCTCCAACAAGCACTGGCCAGTGAACACGCGCTCTTTCAAGGGACGTACCTTCGTCGAGTTCAACTTGGCCGACGAGTGGGTCTGCAAGGTCCTGGCCGGGAAACCGCCGCGCAGCACGGCGGCAGGCCCGAGCGTTCCAGAGAACACCATCATCCATCAGATTGTGGATCAGCTCAAAAGTGTCGAGGAGGCCGAAGCTGCAACTCCGACGAAAGGGGAAGCGTTGGGCGATCTGGATTCCGGCTTCGGAAGCAGCCCCAGCAGCGCCGCGAGCTCCGCGCTAGCGGCGCAACCGCGAGCGAAAATGAAGGCTCAGAAGAAGCCGCCCACAGCGAAGACGGAAGTGGAAATGGCTGTGGCAGTGCCCAGTTTGAGCTCTGATGAGCCGCCCAAGGCGCTGGTGATCCTCAACGTGCTTGGGGACGCAGCCAAGAGGACGCAGAAGGCTTACAAGGCTCATGTGTGGCTGCTGGAGGATGACTTGGAGTGGGTTCTGCTTCGCCTGCAGGAGGAGTGCTCCCGCGCTAGCGTGGGCCACGAATGCGCGGGGCCGAAGGACTACCCGAACATCATCTACAGCCCGGCAGACCGCGTGTGGAGGCTCTCCTGGATCAAGGACGCCGAGGTTGTCTCGCTCAGCAAGCACGTGCAGAACTACAAGCGCACCTACGGGAGCGGGCGCTCGTCGGGACCCACCCGCGAGCTTCTGGACCCGGAGGAGTTCTCGTCGAAGAAGTTCGCTGCGGCGACTGAGTTGATTCGGATGGCCGAGGCTTCGGGGTTCGAGAAGCCCGATGGCTTCGACGCCAGGTGGGGCCTCGCGTAGGCGTGGCGCGGTTGCTGTAGCGCTCGCGCTAGCGAACGTGATGCCGCGTCTCTCACGGGGGCGTTTGCCTCAGGTAGCTTTCTTTGGTTTGGCCGGCGAGTGGGGCGCTGCGCCAAGAGGTACCCGGGCCCCTGGCCGGGGCGCGCTTCTCCGGGAGAAAGCTTGATGTCGTTATCCACCTCTTCTTTTGCCTATGTTTCTCTTCTCCTCAGTTCTCGCCCTCCTCCTCCTGCGCCCCCCCCCTCCCTTCCTCCTCTTCGCCCCCCAACAGGCGCCCATAGCTATTGTTTTCGCTGGTGCGTTCAGGCCCTCCCACTCGGAGGGTTTCGGTTCATCGAACGAATCGGAACAAGGGCGAACTTCGAACCGAACCCGCGGCGAGTCCACGTCAATGCGCACTAATGGGGAAACGATATCGAAACGAAAACTGCTTTGACACGAGGAAGCATGGATAACCGATATCGAAACGAAAAAAGGACGGCTCAGGATGTCAGGACGGGTGAAACGATATCACAATCATTTGATCGAAAGACATACAACGCCTCCGTACGAGCGACACTGAGTTTGCGCATGCTCGCCCCAAGATCCCGCTCCTTCAATGCCTCTCCGTGGCCGAGCGGTATCCAGACAGCATTCCGTCGCCATTGATCGGGGGCGCCATGCGGAGTGCCAGGAGGAAGAGGACGGGGAAGGATTCCAGGCCGCCGTGCTTCCGCAGGACGGCGGCCTGGAAGGCCGTCAACGTGCGGAAGCGCTCCGCGCTAGCGGGGGCCGAGTCCGTCTCCGCGTGCCCGGGGGCCGAGCCCGCCTCCGCGCTCGTGGTTCCTCGACGGCGAATGAGAACCAAAGGGCCTCATTCATCTCAGCCCGCGGCGGCCCCCGCGCCAGCGGGGGCCGAGTCCGTCTCCGCGTGCCCGGGGGCAGGCCGCGCGCCTGCGAAGTTGGAAGTGAGCGCTCCTGGCGTGGATAGTGGCATCCCTTCCTTCGTGGTAAGCGCCGCGTCCGCGCTAGCGGACTAGATCCTTCTTCGACCGACATGGGGTTGGCTATAGCGCAGGCGGTTTCAGCTGCGTTCCGCGGGCATGACCCGCCTGTGGTGCCCCCATTCGAGTACCCTGGGATCGATTGGACGACTGAGGACGTCGACTACCTCGTCTCGTCCAAGGCCATCACGGACTGGGGTGCGCGGCAGAACTACGACATTCGTCGTCCGCACCAGAGCCCTGAGCTGGGCTTCACAACCACTCTTGACGTTGGCCGCCCACTGCAAGGTCTTCTGAAGCGCGCGGCTGAGCTTAGCGAGGGGCGCAGGAGAGAGAGGGCCATGTTCAAAGACACGCTCGCCGTGTTCGATGGGCAGATGCGCGAGGTATATGAGAATCATTGCCTGCGGGCTTACAAGTCCCTGCGCAGACACTTTTTGGTCCGGCATGAACCGGATTCGGGGGGATCGCGGCTTCCGCGCTAGCGGAGGCCCTCCAGGCGTCCGTGCCCAAAAAAACTCGTCGCGATCCCCGTGCATATCTGTCAACTCGCCCTCAAGCGTTGCCACGCCGCCAGCCGTCATCTTTGGGGCCCCACCCTGTCGCCATTGGGAGAGACACAGGCGCGTCGGCACGTCTGGGCCTGCCAGGGGAGGGCGTCGGGGCGGCTGCTTGTGTTTTCCCCCGCCGACCAGGACAGGTTGCACGGGGTGATATATTTAGGGTTCCTGCATGCACGGGGGGGCGGGGGGGGGGGAAACGTTTCCCGAGGTGTGGGCATCCCGGAGTCACGGGGGGATTTCGTTTCGCGGGTTGCGGGGCTCGCGGAAGTGTAGGGTTCGCGCAGGCACGGAGAGGTTTAGTGTCGCGACGGAGGGGTTGCCCGCAGGCACGGAGAGGTTTAGCGTCGCGACGTAGGGGTTGCGCGCAGACGCGGGGAGGTTTAGCGTCGCGACGTAGGGGTTGCGCGCAGACACGGGGAGGTTTAGCGTCGCGACGTAGGGGTTGCGCGCAGACGCGGGGAGGTTTAGCGTCGCGACATAGTGGTTCTGCGCAGACACGGGGAGGTTTAGCGTCGCGACGTAGGGGTTGCGCGCAGACACGGGGAGGTTTAGCGTCGCGACGTAGGGGTTGCGCGCAGACACGGGGAGGTTTAGCGTCGCGACGTAGGGGTGGTCCGCCGGCGCGGGGGGGAGTGAGAGTCGACGTCTGGGGTCTCGCAGGAGTCGGTTGGTGCAGTGCAACGGCGGGTGGCTTCGTTTGTCCCAGCCCTTGGAATCCTCTCTGCTGCCGCGGCCACCTTGGGCTCGAGGAGTGCTGGGGGCCCCAGCATGGCGAGCGCGTCCTCCGGGGGCGGGGCCCCGCCTCCATGCCAGCCGAAGCCGAGGGCTAAGCTGAAGCAGCCGAATGATGCGCCGTGCTGCATCCTGCGGGTGCGCGACGCTCCGCCACGGGCGGCGCCGGACGCAGGGTCAGACGCTCCGGCGAAGCTTCCAGCACCGCCGCGCGCGGCCGCAGAGGAGGGCACGGGCGGCGCGGGCCTCGCGCCACCGAGCTCCCCTTGCCTGGGGCAGGCAGGCCCCGCAGAGGAGGGCGCAGGCACAGCGGGGCTCGCGCTAGCGAGCCTTGGTGGCACGGGAGGCGCTGGCGCCGCGGGCGATGACCACGCGGACGCAGCGGAGCCTCCGCCAGGGAGCCCGGGTCGCCTAGACAACGGGCACGCGGCAGTTGCTGCCGCGAACTTGTCTTGCGTGGCCGCCGAGATTGCACGGGAGTTCGACTACGCAGACGTCTCAGCAGCGGTGGCGTGGTCGTTGGTGACCGGCCGCCGCCTGCTTCTGGAATTTGAGCGTTCGAGCCTCCAGATTCCTGGAGAACTCTTCGCGGAGGCGGCCGATGCGATGGGCAGAGCCGGAGGCGATGTCCAGGCCAGCGTAGCTCACCATCCAGACGAGGCGCCGCTGCGATTAGGAGTGGGCTGGATATCGCGGCACGATGGGGACTGCACTGAGTTGCATCATGCATCGTCATTGGCAGACCTTGTTGGCAAGACGAAGGGGATCCACTTCTTCCCCGTGTACGTCTTACCAGGGTTGCAAAGTTTTTCGCCTCGCGTGCCTTGCGACGGGTCCAAGTGCGGCGGCCGAGGTTTCCCGTGCAGCAGTCGCCTCGCCAGCAACTTGTCTACTCGGGGACTGAGTATGTGGCCAGTGCTTGCGGACGGGGATTGCCTGCCGCGCTCCGTCCTGTGGTGCAGGGGCGCACCTGACACAAAGGAGACGCGGTTGGCCGAGCGCGCGAAGGTTGCGTCCTTTCTGGCGAGCCAGGCCGCCAGCCCAGCGTGCTGCGCTGCCTGGGCGTTGGCCATGGGGAGGTTGGCAGCGCTCTCCTCGGGAGCACATCCAGCGGGCCCTCCAGCGCTCGCGCTAGCGAGCGCGGGAGAGGGTGCACAGGACGATGGCGCGAGAGATTCCGAGACAGCAGCATTCGTCCACGGCATTTGCAACGTGGCTGGCCTGAACCCCACATCAGAAATGCCCGACGCGGGCATCGTGCTGGGGATGCTGTCGGAAAGAGGGAGGAAACGGGCCATGGGCCCTCGACCTCCCAAGCCTGAGCAGCCTCGCAGGCGATGCAGAGGGGGATATCGGTCTGAAAAACTTGAAGCGCGTTTGGAAATCGGGCGAGATCTTCGGGATCATGTTGCCGCAGCCAATGTCTCTGGGCCCAAGGGCCGCCTGCCGCGTGGTTTCGTCGCCACCTGGTTACAGAAGCGCTTGGGCAGGGGGCCTTCCCAGCGGGAGACGTGCGCCGCCGTGCGACGCTTCAGATGGGTGCAGAAGCGCGAGGGGACGTCCCGCGCTAGTGGATTCGTCCTGCAACGCAGCGGTCGGAAGACTTGCCGGGCCCCGTCAAGGACCCCGCTGGGCAGGCGCAAGAAGGCTCCGCTTTTCAGAGAGATGCTCTTCCAGTGGTTCTGCTCTTATCGTGGAACGGTGAAGGGCCGCATTCTTCCTGAGACGCTGATAGACAAGGCCAAGCATCTGCGCGCGAAGTACATCGCGGAGCACTTGGAGACGAACCAAGCGGCGCCCCCGAGGATCGACGTGCCGAAGATCACCAGCCATTGGCTCAAGGACTGGCGCACAGAGTATCACGTCAGCCTCCGAACCTCGAACAAGAGGTGGAAGGTTCCACGGTGGATGTGGAAGGAGAGAGTGAAAATCTATTGGTGCAACTTGCTTCGCCTGCGCAGGTGGGTGTTTCGCCACCACGGATACGACCCTCACATTGATTCTTGGGACCAGAAGCCCATTCACAGAGCGGAGGGGGGGGCCCCACGCGAGGAAGACGTCGGCGTGGAAGGGAGAGGACGTGGAAATCGTGGAGAACCACGGGCACACGAGAGAGCGGTGGACGGCTATGACCATGTGCGCCACAGACCAATTGCGCGCTAGCGCGGTTCCTCCTGCGGAGCTCCTCTTCAAGGGCGGCCCAATTGTTTTGGGTCGGCTGCAAGAGGAGTTGGAGGAGGCCCGCACGGACAACCTGTCGGCCGCACACAAGGTCACCGTGCAGGTCTCCCCGAGCGCGTCTTACGCCACAGCGGAGGTGCTGGAGTTCATGAGAAAGCATCTGGAGCCTCTTCGGCCAGGGCGGGAATGGCGGATTGCCTCTCTGGACGTGTACGGACCTCATCAGGCAAAGGAATTGATCGACGTTTGTTGGGAGCACGGTTATGTTGGCCCCGCGCTAGTGGCGCCTGGGACCACAGGTTCCCTTCAAGGAAACGACACCCACTTGCATGGGCCGTTCAGCGGGCACTACCAGCACAACGAATCCGTGACAATTTCAGCCAAGCAGGAGGCGGATCCCGCATCCATGGGGAGCATGACGCACAGAGACTGCATCCGATGCTTTTGCTCGGTTTGGGACAATCCGGATATGCACAAGCGCGCCAGCGCGTTTGGAGTGCACAACATGGTGCGGGGAAGTCTTGATGGCAAGCAGAACCGTCTGGGCGAGGCGACTCTTCAGGGGCTGTGGGATGAGTTGAACATGGAACAGCTGAAGAGGCAGTGCCTGGCCGAAGTGGACGAGGAGTACGATCGCGGGAACTTGCCGTGGGCGAAGGAGACCATTGCACTCCTCGTGACAGTGTACCCGAAGAGGGGGTGCCTGGACCGTTACCTGCCCGGCCAGGACGACGAGGGGGAATGCGTGGACCAGGACAACGATACACCGTGGGACGATGTTCTCCCACAGGGGGACCCCCAGGATGCCATCGTGGCGGCCGACGAGGAAGAGGTCCGCACGAGCGGCCCCCCCTCGAGCAGCACCCAGGGCGCGGCCGAAACAAGCGCCCAGCTGGAGAGGGCGCAGTGCGGGGTATCGAAGGTGGAGTCCGTGGACATCATGATTGAGCATGCCCGCGCTATCGGGCAGCATTCTTTGCAGGCATACTTGGAAAGGGAGCGCCTGAAACTTCTGAAGCAACTGACTGGCGCGAAGCAGGAGAACCCCGCCGTGGCCGAGGCGGTTCTCGGGCGCTTGCGTTTTGACGAACATGAGCGCCAGAGGCGCGCAGAGGAAGCCAGAAAACACCGAGCGGACACTGATGCTGCGAGGGGGGTTGAGGCCAAGCTGCGCGAGCACGCTTGCAGATTAGCGCTTGCGGAGCGCGAGGTGGCGCGGCGACAAGCAGAAGAGCAGCGGCGGAAGGCCGTCGAGCACGCCGCCGTGCATTTGGAACCGCAGATGTTCTCTGCCGCGGTGGCCGGCATCCGCGCGGCGCAGCACAACCGTTGGAAAGCTTTCGAGCGAGTGATGCTTGTCGGGGCTGCATTATCGCCAGAACAGGAACGCAACCTGCGGCACGACTGGCAGAAGTGGGATGCGTTTGAATCTCACCAGAACCCCCACGGCAATGACTGGGCCAACATGTTCAAGGCCCATCTTTCCAGGTTGTTGGACCACTGCCGCAGTGGGAACGCCGACCGGATCCAGGCCTGGCGGGAGCATAAACGCCGAACGCGTGTGGGAGTCCACGTTGCGCTGCCAGCCCTGCAGCGCTAG